ACTCCAACCACCATCCAAACTCAGTCTCCAAAGATATCTTTCATTCATCTCCTGTTTCCAGGAATACTAGGTACCATTTTGCTTGGGGGGTTAGCTTCTTGTTGTTGACCAATGAGCTCTTGGACTGGTCAAAATTTTCCCAGCAAAAAGAAGACATTGTCAATTGCCTGATCAACTTGCTTTGCAGGCCCTCTACATCTATCTTTCTCTGGGCTTCTGTTTTGACTGTTACAATGTGGCTGTGGCAGTGTGGGCCAGTTCTTCCATAAAGTGGCAAAGGAGAAGCACAAGATGAGCAGCATCTCTTGAAGATGCTGAAGTAGTGTGATGCTATGCCGTCTTCCAAGATATGTGCAGCAGGATTAGTAGAGTAGGACTCTGGATGCTATGGAAGCCACCATGGCCCTGGGAAAGAACTTGAACTAGGCCTTTTTGGATCTGCATGCCATGGTTGCTGCTTGCACAGAGCTCCATCATATGACTTTTGGAGGAAAGCCATTTCCTAGATGAGGAAGACACCTCATAAAAAAGAAGGCTGCCTACCTGATCAACTCTAGCCCCACAGACCACCTCAAAGGCCACTCAGGTACAACTAGGAGAATCTAGAGCCCAGTGGTATTTAAGTAGCTCCCCTGAGGTGCTCCTCTGCATTCTGCTGGTATCTTGACTTCTGCCTGATCTTCTCCCTCCAGCTAACCAAACCACACCAAACTCTGCCATCAAGTTGATTCTAGTTGATAGTGACCCTACAGGACAGACTAGAATTGCTCTATAGGGTTGGGCATGGTCTTTTCAATTACTTGCTATGCCTCTGAGAGCTGAACAGCAAAGATGGATGACAGAAGAAGAATTGATGCCTTTGAGCTCTGGTGTTTGGAGAAAAGTGGTGAATATACCATGAACTGCCAAAAGGGCAAACAAATATATCTTGGAAAAGTGGGAAAGTGCCGCAAGAGTGCTCCTTGGAGGCAAGAATAGTGGAGCTTTGTCTCACATAATTTGGGAGTGTTGTTAGGAGAGGCTATTTCTTAGACAAGGACATTTTGCTTGGAAACATGGAGGGTCAGTGAAAGAGGGGAAAACCCTCAGCAAGATGAACTGACACAGTGACTGCAGCAATGGGCTAAAGTGTGCCAGAAATGGTGAGGAGGGCACAAGATAAGACTGAGTTCAGATTGTTGTTCACAGAGCACTGTGAATCATACTCGACTTGATGACACCTAACAACAACATACGGTTTTCACGGCTGTGAGTCTTTTTAAAAAAATTTTTAAAAAATTAATTTTCATGAACGTTTACAGAGATTTTGGATTTCTATTCATTCATTGTTGCATTTTTCTCCCTGCCCGCCCCTCCCCCCAGTTTACTCTTCTCTTTGAAAAGTAAAAGAAAAGTTATTTCATTGGTATAGAATTCCCCCTTTTCTGCTCTCCTTGCGTCTAGCTGCTGGCTGTCCCGGCTCGTGCCCGCAGACCCCCACACTCGCCGCCATGCCTCGCAAAATTGAGGAAATCAAGGACTTCCTGCTCACGGCCAGGCGAAAGGATGCCAAATCTGTCAAGATTAAGAAGAACAAGGACAATGTGAAGTTCAAGGTTCGGTGCAGCAGGTACCTCTACACCCTGGTCATCACAGACAAAGAGAAGGCCGAGAAGCTGAAGCAGTCCCTGCCCCCAGGTTTGGCAGTGAAGGAGCTGAAATGAACCAACATGCTGATTTGAATTGCAATAAAATTTTTAAAAACAAAAAAACAACAACAACAAAAAAAAAGAATTCCCCCCTCCTGCCCTGAGTACACTCCACTATGCAACCTTCATTCTGGACTCTTGTCATAAACATCGCTTTCAAACAGTTCTCTTCCTCATCTGTTTCAATGCAGTATACATAATTTATCCAATTTTTCTCAGCCTCACCCCAACCCTGATGTCAGTCCTATTCTCCAATAGTGGCACCATGCAGCACCTGCCTTTTTGTGACTGAGATATTTCACTCAGTGTAATATCCTCCATGGTCACTCATTTTGAATAATATTGCATGAGTTCCTTGGTTTTCAATGCAGCATAGTATTCCATTGTGTGAATATACCACAGCTTCTCTATCCATTCGTTTGTTGATGGGCACTTAGGTTGTTTCCAACTCTTTGCTGTGAACAAAGTGCTATAAGTCTTAATGGAACTCAACTGTGTTTGCTTTCTCGTGCATAGCCACTGCTGGGTTCGAACCACTGGTCTTTCAGTTAGCAGCCCAGCATTATACCACTAGGGTGATTCTTCTGTAGTTAAGAGGAAGATTTTTAGATACCCTGGAGTTCTCTCCTGAGCCATGGGCCAAATAGAAATAATAAAACTTCCTTTTTTACTTGATTTATATTTTAAATTTTATAAGTTGTTATATGACGTTGAGCTGGAACCAACTCCTAATTGATCCTCCAGTGGGTTTTCAGAGGCTATAAATTGTACAGGAGTAGGGTGTCCATCTTTCTCCTTAAAAAAAATATTTTTTTAAGGGAGTTCTGGTGGTCTAGTGGCAAGAAGCTGCACTGCAATCCCAGAGGCATGTAGTTCAAATCCACTAGATGCTCTGCTGGAAAAGGAGGGACAATCTCCTCCTGTACCAGTCAGATCTGATTTGACGGTACACGCACACAAAATTAATAAAATATATATATTTTTTAAAAATTTTATTTATAATATTTAAAATGTCAATTTTATTTATTACTTTTTAGTGGAACTGTAACCCTCTTCCAATCCATGTACCAAATAGAAATAATAAAACTTCTTTTTCAAGGGAGCTCTGGTGGCCTAGTGGCAAGAAGATGCACTGCAATCCCAGAGGCACATAGGCACATAGTTCAAATCCACCAGATGCTCTGCTGGAAAAGGAGGGACAATCTCCTCCTGTACCAGTCAGATCCGATTTGACGGTACACGCACACAAAATA